CCCATGGTGACTGAGTGTCTCTGTTTCCCTCTCAGATGGGCTTCACAGCAGGAGACTCAGTGGAACCTGAGGATGAATCCAGACGAGAACAGAGCAGTCTGTCCATCACCCAGCGGTGTTTCTATGAGGAGTGACCGATCCAAAGATATTCTTGTGGGCTTCAGTAATTATCCTGGATTCCCAGACCAAAGGTAAGTCGTCTGTTACAAGGATGTGTGAGACACTATAAACTGCCCATGCATAAAACAATTCAGAGTGTAGGGGTAAAATGTTAGTAGGTAAATCCCAGACCAAAAGTAAGTCCTTTGTTATAATTAGAGGTGTTTTTTGTAATATCTTAAAGTCACAGTGAGTGGCATCATGAACAGTTAAATGGAGTCACTGGTAACCTCACAGCAGGAGGTCTAATTATGGCAGAAACTATTTTTGACCATCATTTGTTCATAATTTTATGTTGGCAGTTATGAGAGATTTTTTTAGTTTAGTTTTTTTACCAGTCAAGTCTTTAAGTGTGCAATGTTCCCAAAATGATTAAATGTTTTATAACCATAAGAAGGCCAAGTGTCTCCTTATGGGTCCAGGATGGCGGAACAGTCCTCCAGGTTCCAATCATTGGATCCTGGAGGACGACGTGTCAACTAATCCACTCAACTTTGACCCTTGACCTTTGAAGCTGTAGTATGTAACTTTTATAAAAAATTTTTTACATATTTGTTAAAACTGTCACTATGCTATGCTATGGATATCTTTTGGTCTTGTCCTAAACTAATTGTGTTCTGGGAGGAGCTTTTTGAAGCCCTCAAGGTAATTTTCAGGAGAGATGTTCCATAAAACCCCCCCTTGTGGCAGTTTTGGGAGAAATACCCGATGGAATAGACAGAAAGGGTGGTCAATATCTTCTAAATATCTTGCTTACGGCAGCTTTGAAATGCGTTACCATCAGGTGGCTGAAGCCAGGGCCTCCTACATATAACACATGGATACAAAAAGTTTGGGACATTTATTTGATGGAAGAAATCACATATTCCCTAAGGCTTCCAAAAGCAGTCTTTAATATAAGGTGGAGCCCTGTCATACCATTATTAATTCAGTGACACATTAACAGGATTACCTTTCTGCAGTCACTGTGTACTTTTGGGTCGGTTTAAAATATCATTGTGGTTAGGAAGGTGTGGACCATCTTACCTCAGAGGGGATCTAATCGTGTGTTTTGTGTTTACTTTATTTTGCTGTTACCTGTCTTTTCATTTCACTCTGTTGTTGTGTTTTCATTATTACACTTGTTAGAACATCTGTTGTCTCATCTTTTGTCAAGTTACAATGCTGAAGATGTGTCAGTAAGAGACGGAAGAATGTAACTGTGGGAATGTGTTTTTGGTAAAAATAAATAAAAAAATAAAGTTAAAAAAAACTGTCACTATGTTGTGACGGCCTGAGACTGATAGTCTGTGTAAAGATCTCCTCTGCCTTCTCCCAGCTCCATCTAGAAACACCCAATCAGAGACAGGAGGCGGGTCTTAGAGCTGTCAGTCACCATTTATGTGGTGCTGCTCATCCCCCTCCTCCACTCCTTTATTTATCCTCTGCTATGCTGCAGATTCTTCCTGATATTAGAACCTGTCATGAATGCTAATGCTAGTTAGCATGGCCAATGATGCAGGCGGCTCAACGGTTGTCTTTACATGAGGATGATTGACAGCGCTGAGTCTCATTCCCAAAACCATAAATATTGACCATATCTCCAATTATTATGATTTTACTGATTGTGTTGGACCTTCATGAACATCTTCATCATTTCACCCGTATTTAGTGAACAGTTTCATTGATGAAGAAATGTCTTCACAGAGGGAGGAAGAGGAGCAGCGTTGGTGAGGAGGAGCAGCCGTCCTGCTGTGCTTTGTGTCAGAAGGTTCTGATGGATCCGGTCTCTACCAGCTGTGGACACTGGTTCTGCAGACGGTGCATCAGGTCCTACTGGGACCAGTCTGCTCCATCTGGACCCTCCTCCTGTCCCCAGTGTGGGAAACGACCCAGAACAGGAGCTGGACTGCTGACAGCCAATCAGAGCAGCTGTGCTCCAGGTGAGACTGAACACCTCCAATCAGAGCTTCTTCTGTTGTCTGTTGAACCAATTCAACGTCTTTAGATGGGATTTGGAAATTCAAGGTGTTAAACGTCTTTCTGTGATCAATTATTTCAGCTAAATCTGTTTCCAGCTGTAAATGGATCGAATGTGTTCAACCAAACAACCTGCTGGGTTTGATTTAAAATGGATCTGTTTCAGTTGTTTATGCTTTAAAACTGAACATCACCTTTAGACTGGAGGTTATTCTGATTAATGAAAACAAAAAATGGAAAAAAAACAACCTGCTGCTTTTACAGAAAGAGGGAAAAACCCTGATTTATTCTGACAATAAATTACAGATTATATAATTATATATTCTGCCTGTTTAGCTGCTGTTCATGGATGAAGGTCAGATAGAAACATCAAAATGAGGACATGATGCAGAAGAGTTGATGTTGCTTAAAGCTGCTACATTTAATGACTGTGTTTCTGTCAGCATTTATCTGATCTACTTTGTGCATCAGATCCTGACAGTGAACAGACAAAGGCCACAAAACAGGAATCTGCTGTCTGATGATAGAACAATGTTCTGGTTCTGTGTATGGATTTAATTGTTTAGCATGACATCCTGTGAAATCAGAGACCTTATAATGATAACGCCTCCTAATGTTCCAGGTGGTTTTGTTCCAATCCAATTACAATAAATCATGTTTTTTACTTTGGTTGTCTTTTCTTCTATGTTTCAGCAGATGTTGTTCTGCAGGAGGTTCTAGAGGAACATAAGATCAGTCTAAGGAGGAGATGTGAATGTGTGACTGAAGGAAGTGATGAAACAGGAAGTAGAACCCTCCTCAACAGGATCTACACTGATCTCTACATCACAGAGGGTCAGAGTGAAGAGTTTAACACCCAACATGAGGTGAAGCAGCTGGAGAGAGCTTCCCAGATCCAGAACCTCCATGACTCTCCAATCAGGTGCCAGGACATCTTTAAATCCTTCCCTGACCAACATGGAGCCATCAGAGTGGTTCTGACCAATGGCGTCGCTGGTGTTGGAAAAACCTTCTCAGTGCAGAAGTTCACTCTGGACTGGGCCGAGGGCTTGGAGAACCAGGATGTCAGTGTGGTGGTTCTGCTGTCGTTCAGGGAGCTGAACCTGATCAGAGATCAGCAGCACAGTCTTCTCTCGCTGCTCCATGTTTTCCATCCAACACTCCAGAAGCTCCCAGCAGAGCAGCTGGCTGTCTGCAAACTGCTCTTCATCTTTGATGGCCTGGATGAAAGCAGACTTTCACTGGACTTCAGCAGCAGGCAGCTGGTTTCTGACGTCACACAGACGTCATCAGTCAACGTTCTGCTGACAAACCTCATCAAGGGGAACCTGCTTCCCTCGGCTCTCATCTGGATAACTACCAGACCTGCAGCGGCCAATCAGATCCCTCCTTCATGTGTTTCCAGGGCAACAGAAGTACGAGGCTTCACCGACGCCCAGAAGGAGGAGTACTTCAGGAGGAGGTTCAGTGATGAAGAGCTGTCCAGCAGAATCATCTCCCACATCCAGACCTGCAGGAGCCTCCACATCATGTGTGGAATCCCAGTCTTCTGCTGGATCACTGCTACGGTTCTGGAGAACATGTTGACCTCAGAGCAGAGAGGAGAGCTGCCCAAGACCATGACTGACATGTACTCACACTTCCTGCTGGTCCAGACAAAGAGGAAGAAGAACAAGTACCATGGAGGACATGAGACAAGTTCACAGGAGCTGATGGAGGCAGACAGGGAAGTTCTTCTGAAGCTGGGGAAACTGGCGTTTGAACATCTGGAGAAGGGAAACATCATGTTCTACCAAGAAGACCTGGAGCAGTGTGGTCTGGATGTCACAGAGGCCTCAGTGTACTCAGGAGTTTGTACAGAGATCTTCAAAAGAGAGAATCTGATCTTCCAGAAACCAGTTTACTGCTTTGTTCATCTGACCATCCAGGAGTTTCTGGCTGCAGTCTACATGCTCCACTGTTTCACCACCAGGAACTCAGAGGTGATGAAGAAGTTCCTGGGAAAAACATACAATGAAACATCTCTGGATGAGTGGATGGAGAAAGTCATGATGAAATCCCTCAGGAGTAAAAATGGCCACCTGGACCTGTTTGTCCGCTTCCTTCATGGCCTCATTCTGGAGTCCAACCAGAGACTGCTAGGAGGCCTGCTGGGTCAGACAGAGAACAGTCCAGAAACCATCCAGAGAATCATAGATAATCTGAAGAAAGGAAGAAACCTTTCATCCCCTGATAAACACATCAACATTTTGCACTGTCTGGTGGAGATGAACGATCTCTCAGCTTTTCAGGGGATCCAACAGTTCCTGAAATCAGAGAACAGATCAGAGAAGCTCACAGTGATCCAGTGTTCAGCTCTGGCCTTCATGCTGCAGATGTCAGAGGAAGTTCTGGATGAGTTGGACCTGGAAAAGTACAAAACATCAGAGAAGGGACGCCTGAGACTGATTCCAGCTGTGAGGAACTGCAGAAAGGCTCGGTGAGTCCAGGACCATTTCTCAATACTCAAGTACGTTTTTGTGTTCTTGGCAAGTACAAATCTAAAGAAGAGTTGAAAGTCTTTTCTTGCCGAGTTCACAAGGCCAGAGTTCCTGTCACACAACTGGATGATTATTTTACAATAACTACTAAACACTGATTAACACATTTGTTTCCTTTATTATCATAATCAAGTTTACTTTTGTAAAATACCAGCATAGAAAGAGACAAATACTGTTTTATAGGAATGTCTTAATAACAGTAAAACAAGCAGATAATAAACCAATAACTCCAGGAAATTGATACTAAGACTATCTAATCGAGAGCAAATATTACCATAATCTAATTGATTTCTAAGATGAGAAGATGGTGAAGAGGAAAATGACAGGACAGAGGGATGGAGAGAATCTCTGGGAGCTTTTAGGAAGCTGGAAGTAAACCTGGAGCTGTAGTCTGTTCACCTGAAGAGCTGCCTGAATAAAACAGTTTACTATGAGGTCTCGCTTAAAAACAAATTTAAATGAGTTTTTGTAGCAATTAATGGTGGTAAAAGTGCAATACATTTCTGTACCCACCTTCTCCATGTACCGCTGCTGGTGGCGCATTGCATTGTGGGATATCTTGCTGGCTCAAGTCTGCAGAAGGATGCATCGATGCGTCCTCGATAAAATGGGCGGAGCAAGAACACATCTGGGTACTTTGAGCGACCTGTCGCGATAAACTATAAATCAGTTAACGGAACAATAAATGAAAGTCATTGACCTCATTTTAATTTAACACAATCCTTACCCCCACCTCATGAACCGTCCCTCACCTCTTGGAGGGGATGATTTCATGGCAGGAAAGAGCCGATGAGGATTTCAGGAGAAACTTCTAATTCTTCTTTGTCAGTTAGTCATGGCTGCAGTTTGAACAAGGGAACAAACTACATGACAGTCCTTTAAGACAATTAGTTAGACATGATCAGAACCAGAACCTGAGTTTAACCTTGAGTTTAATCCTGAACTGCAGAGATTCTGTTTCTCGTCAAACTCGGTAAATTCATCAAATGATGACATCACTGTTTTATTTTAATCTGTTTATTTGATTTAATTGGAACTGACTTTATTTCTTCTCTCATCACAGACTTGGTGGCTGTAAACTCTCAGAGGCTGGATGTGAAGTTGTGGCTTCAGCTCTGAAGTCCAACCCTCATCTGACTGAACTGGAAATAAGTGAGATAAACATAAATAAATGTGGAACCCTTGGAGACTCTGGACTGAAGAACATCTGTGAGATTCTGGAGAATCCAGTCTGCAAAGTGAAGAGTTTGAGGTTTGTTTTCTCTTCTTGTACCATAAAATCAGTCACTAAAATTTTAATACTTTTTAGCTAATAAAATTATTCTGTTTTTCAAAAACAACTTATCAAGATATCAGAATATAATTTCTAAAACTTATTTATCCTGTACATGAATTACTTTTTATTTCAGACTTTCAGATTATTGAACTTTGTTTCTCAGTTTTTCTCACTTTGACACCTTGGACTTTGATTTTCAAATTAAATAAAAACTTTACTTTCATCTGAAGATAAACTGAGTACCGTTCTGGTCAGACCCAGTCAGATTCCTGTAGCTCAGGTTCTGATCCGTCTGTAGTGGATCCAGATGTTCTGACCTGAAGCTCCTCCAGGTTCTGGATGGGTTCTGCTGGACAATCCTATCAGATGTCCCTGTTGCACATCTTCCCACCACAGTTTTTCCTTCCATTCAACTTTCTATGAATAATAATTTCTGAGACATGGAGGATATTTAGTTCCTTTGTTCTCAGGCCCAGCAGCCAAACATGTTAAGTTTCACTCAGTCATCAGTCTGTCCACATGGTTGGATCCCAATAATCTGATCAGTTTCTGATGAATTTTCATTAAATGTTTAGATTACAATGGCTGCTGTTGGTTTAGCTTTCAGGTCAGAGGAACATTTCACACTTTCAGCTCTAAATGTTGGGGCTTGACTGGATTTTTCTGGGTTCCTCATTGGACAGACTGCAGTCTGGTTTTGGGTCAGACCAGAGTCCAGACTTTGTAGATTTTCTGTCATCAGACGTTCAGAGTCTGGAAACAGCAGCAGTGATGGCGGCTCAGCCTGCAGCGAATAGAAGCAGCAGGAAGTCAGAGGAACGTCCAGAGAGGAAACTGACTGAGGGACGGATTCAGAGGGAAGTAGATGGAAAAGCTTTGATGCAGATCTGGGAGGTGGATGCAGAACATAAATAATTCACAGTGTCTGAATAATAAACTGAAATAATATCACACTTACTAAACTGACTACAATAATGAAGGTTACACAAACATTCCCTTCTAAATCAACACGACATGAAAACCCACGTTGTGTAGCTCTTCAGTGCGCACGTGAACAAACAGGCTATTAATTAACGGTAAACCTTAAATATTCAGGTAAATGAACAATATCTAGTGATGGGTCCGGCAACACTGATGCGTTGGCGCATGAAGCCCACAGACCAAAACCCGTGTCGGTGCGCGTATTGGTTTCAGTAAGTCGTGACCGATACAGGAACTGTTTCGAAATGACATTAACGCGCCAAACTGTGTTTATAAGGAAGCGAATCTGTCAAAAGCATTTGCCAAACGAATTCTTGATGTTTTACGGTACAGAGTCAACTATGGAGCAGCTTCAAAGGAAAGGTTTCCGCAGTGTTGGACCTTTTTGATCTTATATTGGAAAATAAATTTGTTTTCATTTTTGTTGTTTGGACCAGAGAAACTGACCAGAGATCAGTCCTGATGGTTAAGAGCTGCTGTCATGGAGAAGAGGCTGCAGGCAGGAAACAGGAAAACACAAAATAAAAGTCAAGGCTGCATCTGCAGCTCCATCTAGAAATTCACTGATTGTTGTTTTGTTTTTAGAAAAAGGAAAAATTCCTGACTAGAATGTTTATAATGTTTAATTTCAGCTCCTGGAATCTGACAGTTTAATCAATAATCACTGATTGATGCTTCATATTTCCTCCTGATTGTTAGTTTGTGTGAAACTTGACTGATTTGCTGCAGAAGCTGAGTTTGTAGTGATGGAGCTGCTGGTGGAGCTGACAGAGTTTAAGAGCTGAAGTCAGCAGGTCTTTATTGAAGCAGCAGCTTGTTGGCATTAATAGTCATGAGACTCTTTAACTGGTTCTGTTGGACTGGTTAACCTGCATCCTGTTGGCTTCAGCTCATCTTTTATTCTTTATTCAGGTTGAGGGACTGCAGGTTGTCAGAGATCAGCTGTTCTTCTCTGGCCTCAGCTCTGACCTTTAACCCCTCACATCTGACTGAACTGGACCTGAGCTTCAACGAAGACCTGAAAGATTCTGGAGTGAAGGAGCTCTGTGGTTTCCTCCAGAATCCAGAATGTAAACTACAACGATTACAGTAAGTTACCATGTTTTAGTTTATTGCTGATGTTTGTGATGTGAAAGTTTTATTGCCACTAAACTGCAGACGTCTGGCTGATATTCTACTGATCCACTCTGAGGATCTTCATGGTAAAGACTTTTATTCCTCTGCTTTGGTCACATTAAAGCTTCTTTTAATAGGACAAATTGCTGCTAAAGAGGAACATGGAAGGAAATAAAATACTGATTAGTCATTTAATGTTTTTAATCTCTTTAAAATGTCATGATCCTGTTTCCCTGTGAGTCTCTGCGTCTCCCCGTTGATTGTCTCCAGGTGTGTCTCGTTCCCTTGATTACCCCGTGTGTATTTATGTCCACCTGTTGTCTTTTGTCGGGTCCTAGTCTAAATGTCTGTTAGTTCGTCTGCCGGCACAGTTGAACTGTCCAGTCCTGTATCGGCGTTTGCTCGTATTGGTCGGTCTTTGTTGAAATTCAGTTGCTACCGGTCCTGAGTCTCCGTCCCGCTCTGCCCTGCTGCCTGTATTGGACTGTCCGAGCATCATTATTATTAAACATATCATCATCTTCACTGGGTTTCAGCGTCTCTCCTCACCTCCTACCACCACTACTCATGATATAAAATAGGGATTCACTGATAATATGAGGTCAGAACCAGACGGCATTCGGACCCCCAGTGTGTAGAAATCCCCTCATTGTCAGGATTCTGGGCTGGTTTGGCTTATTATAATAATAGTTTTATTATTGTTAATGTGTGTTTGCCTCAGTTATTTTCATTTTGATGAGATCAGCCTTGTTTCTGTTTGACTTTAGTTCAGTTCATTCTCAGTTATTCCAGATTATTTATTCATTCTAGTTCCTGAATGTTTCAGTTGGATTCATTTTCTCTGGTAGTTTACTCTCCCTTGTCTCCTTGTTCTCTCTCTCTGATTCTTTCTCTCCCTGTAAATCATCTGGGTCTGTTGTTCCATCTTTCTCTCTCTCAGTATTTATCCTCCTCTCCTCTCTCTCCTTCCTGGTTCTTCCTGTTTTAACCAGTTTTTCTCCATCTGCCTGGTTCCTTTGTCCTCCTGCTCATTTCTCTAAGTTCTTGTTTTACTTTCATTTTTCATTTAATAATCAACCATCTATTCATCACCTCAGCTGTTCTGCAATGAGTCCACTCACCACCATCATGACCCTCATGTGGAGCAGGTCAAAGGTCATTCAACCCAGTCTAGAAAAGTGAATATCAGCTTCTGGAATCTGACAGGAACAAATCTATAATCAATGATTGATGCTTCAACACTAAAATCCTCCAACTCATCATGACCCAGTACCAGGTTCTGGTTCTGGTTCTGGTTCAGCTCCTACA